TTATTAATTACTCTATATTAGTATTGGGCATGTCTCGGTTTATCAGCCTACCGGCCCACTTTCGATCCGCTTCTTTAAGTCGATAATTTTTTCGGGCGATAATTTTATGGTCGGGACGGTAAGTTTAACCGACATATGTATTAATCGGTCGGTCGGTAGTTTTCAATTAACTCAAAGGTCGGTTAGTCGGGTAATATCAAAAACTCAAAAAAAAAAAATTTATAAACCTATTTGTACTATTTCTATTTTATAATTCTTATTTCATATTCTTCATTATAAATTTACTTATTTTAGAAGTTTAATTAAACAAAAAACTCTTAATTTTAAAGTTAAGATTTTTACAGCATAAGTTTTCAAAATTTTTTGAATATCTTTGGAAAAAACTTATCTTATTATTGTAATAAAAATAAATAAATAAAGAAAAATCAATAAATAGATGACTGATAAATGTTGTCTACGGTTATCTATTTTATTTTAAATCTTGTCTTATAAATGTTTGAATAGTTAGTACTCTTTTTAGGATTTATGGTTCAAACGTATTATGTTTGATTCACTCGTGACATTTATCATTGATGTTATTCACGTTTGTTTCAATTTAAAATTTTACGCTTGGTCATTCATTTTAATTTCTAAATAATTTCGCGTAAAACTTATGAATTATTAAAGAAAATATCTTTTTTAAATTACGACGGATTTCGACCCGTGAAGGTTGGTTCTAATTTAAACCCGCAATAGAACCGTCTATCCTAAACCCGTCGAAAACCCACAAGTTTGGTTACTTAAAATAAAGAACCGTTGGTTGTCGGGACGAGGGCGAGTGTTGCTAGAACCTGCGGGTTTACGACCCGCGCCCACCCCTAGTTTTATATACAAAATTAAACGGGAAAATTACAGTTTTCATCCCTCAACTATGCACAAATTTCACATTTGGTCCCCAATGTTCACAAAAAACATATTTGATCCCTCATGTTTCAATAATTTAACGTTTTTTGTCATTTTCGTCAATTTACCGTTAGTCGGTCAGTTAATTAATTGGTGGACCCACGCTTGATTCCGTTAGTTTTAACGGAAAATTGACGAAAATGACTAAAAGTGTTGAATTTTTTAAACATGAGGGACCAAATGTATTTTTTGTGAACATGAGGGACCAAATGTAAAATCGATGTTAACGCAAGGGACGAAAATTGTATTTTTCCTAAAATAAAACATTAAAAAATGATAGTATTATATATTCAATTTTATTACCCTTAAGGTAATGTCAAATTAAAAAAAAAAAAAAAAAAAAATTCCTCCTATTTCGATAATTACAACTACCCCTAAACTATAAATCTTATTACAAGTCCGTCCATGTCAACTTGAACAAAAAATTTTAAAGGGGCTCTTTGATATAACCCCATCAATACTTCTTTTAATAGGGAGAAGACCAAACTATTTTGCACCATTCGAGAAAAACCCACTCCTAATTTAAGCCACTCATTTTTCCAATTATATCCCTTCCACTATCCCTTCCACCTCATCATTACTGTCCACCCATGACCACCCGTCAGCAGTGTCTTTTTTTTTTAATTAATTAATTATTATTTTTATTAATATTTTATCATTATTTTTTCAAATACATTTTTTTTTCATTTTTTTTTAATTTTTTTTTCCATTTTTTTCTGTATCAATTTTATTAATCGACTATGAAGTATAGTCGATTAAGGTAAATCGACTACGAAGAATAGTCGATTAAGGAAATTCTTTAATTTTTTTTTCTTCTATATCATGTATATACATTAATCGACTATGATGAAGCATAGCCGATTAAGAATCTGAGTACTAAAAATAACAAATCACAACTACAAAAAAATATACAAACATTATAATTGATTTATACAATTGAAATCAATAAATAAATAAGTCCAAAAAATTAAAATTGGAGTCGATTAACCTTAATGACTATCAAAGCATAGTCGATTAGCTTAATCGACTATTGAACATGTACGTAGTCGATTAAGGTTTCAGCCTGCGCAAATTTCTTTACCTGCACCGTCATTCACCCGATCCACCAAAAAATCCTAAATTTGCCTCCCATCGTCACCACACCGCCGCCACATCACACCATCAGCACCCCTACTTCGATATTCTAATAACCACATTATTCATTGTTCTCCTGAAGAAAATGCTTTTATAATTTTCAACATGAGTTATAACTTGCATGATTATAAAACAGAGAGGCCACTCAAACACCAACCACCAATGGCACTCTATCTTCATCAAGTTTCCACACCTATGTTAAAAAACCAAACAAAGGTCCAGTCATGACAACCAGCAAGAAACCACAAAGAGCATCAAAAGAGTCGCCAAATCAAGAAAATCGAAATAAAAACAAAGAGCAGAAACAACCCGAATCCCAAGAAGAAAAAAATCGGGGAAAGTTAATATTTTTAGCCAAATAGAAAGAACACTTACTTGGAAATGTCAAACAAATTAAAAACATGTGAATAATTAATTGTGAAATTCATTTAGAGTGCGTTTGGATGGAAGGATTTGGGGAGGGATTTGATTTGGGGAAGGGATTTGAAATGACTCCAATTTTGGAGTCATTTGAAATCCACCTCAATTGCTCAAAACATAACTAAAAAGGAGGGGTGTGGATTTGAAATACATCCCCAAATCCCTCAATCCAAACAAGTACAAGGGATTTGTTATTATGGATTTGAAATCCCTTCCCCAAATCCTTACATCCAAATGCACCCTTATAGTTGAATAAACCAGCCCTTCCGATTCAAGAGCCTCCATAGCTTCTTTATCACGGATTAAAAAAAAAAGTTACTAAAAATGGTGTATGTGTGTGTCTTAGAGAGAGAGAGAAAAAAACCAAAAAATAAGTTAATAAAAAATGGTGTCTGTGTCTGTCCACTACAAGAAATTTTCAAATTGGCAACAGTATGTTTTGTTGCCAAAAGACTTTAATTTCGTTGCCAATTCCTCTTGCAACAAAATTGTTTTGTTGCCACCTTCGTTGCCGTTTTCTTGTCACCAAAAGTTCCGGGCAACGAAATGTTACAAATCGTTGCCAATAATGCATTATAGACAACATTGTTATGTCGTTGCTACATATTGATCGTTGCCAATGCATTAAGTAATAACAACAAGTCTATTTTGTTGCCATACATTTATCGTTGCAAATTCTTTGATTACTACCAACGAATTTATTTTGTTGCCACAAATCTATCGTTGCCAATACATTTATTAATAACAACTAATTTATGTCGTTGCAACCCATAAATCGTTGCCAATACATTCATTATTAAGAACAAAATTGTATTTTGTTGCAACATATTTATTGTTGCCAATACATGACTTATTTTCGACCGCACCCGCCAGCCCGACCTTTGGACTACCGACCCGCATCTGCCGACCCGACCTTTGGACCGCCAACCTGCATTTGCGGACCCGACCTTTAGACCGCCGAACCGCTTCAGAGTCGGAATTGTTGGGTTAAACTCATGATTAGCCCAATAGGCTAACTCGCTTGATAAATGTCAAATATATGGAGACATGACAATGGTAAGAGTCGAACTCTGGTTGATTTGAAGTTAGACACCCTTCATACCGCTGGGGCAACACTACATTTGTGTAAACTGATTGAAAATAAATTTATAAAAACTAAATACATAAGATCAAATGATTAAACTAACCACATAAATAAATAAAATGTCATAACAAATAATTTACTATATATACTTTATGTTCAAAAAATAATTCACAATAAAATTTAATTATAAATATAACATCTACCATTAATTATATATAGTATTTTTTTAAAATCATATCAACAATTAACTTAACAAAAAAAAATATGAGTTATTGTAGTTAATATAAACAAATAAGATTTTTCTTATCATATTATTATATAATATATATATATATATATATATATATATATATATATATATAATTAAAATCAAGAAAAATAGTTGGTTTTTAAATTTACAACGATTATATTTTGTTGTCAAATCACTTGGAACATTTACAACAAAATATTTCGTTGTCTTTCGTCACTTATTCACAACAAAAATAAATTTGTTGCCATTGTAAATGTATTTACTACAATTTTATATCGTAGCGAAAAGAAATACTCTTTTGCAACAATAAAGTTGTTGTCTTGCATATACGATACTATTCACGACAATATGTTTCGTTGCCTATGAGATTCAAAGGCAACAAAAATATCTTGTTACAAAAACGTTATTCTTTAGCCACAAATACTATATTTCGTTGCTAAAATATAACTATTGGCAACGGAATTCATTTCGTCGATAAAGAAATCGTTGCCTATTTTGCATTTTCTTGTAGTGGTCAGAGAGACAGAGAGAGTGTGCATGATCTTTTCCTGGGATATTAAGCTTTTGTGCAATTTCATTCCAGTGCACACCATTTTCCTCAGTACTGAAAGTACAATAAACAGTTGAATGAGAGTTGATTTGTATTTAGAAGAAGAAAAGAAGATTGAAAAATGAAGAATCAGAGAGATCGAGAAAAAACCAGAGATTTGGGTGGGAATTTGAAAAGAGAAAAAAAATAGCAGAGAAGAAGAAAGAGAAGAGGCGTAAAGAAGAAGAGAGAAAAGATAAGGCAACGAATATATGCAAGACGAAAATTACTAAGTGCAAGACCTTACTTCATGCAAGACCAAAATATAAATAAATTTACTAAGATCAAGACTGGAAATTACAAATATAACCCCAATAATAATTTAGATATTATTAATTTAAATTAAGCTAATTGCTATTGCAAGACCAAAAAAAAATAAAAATAAAAAGAATAAAAAAAATGGAAAAATGAGAGGGAACTCACTCCCCCAACAAAACCCCAACATCTTCTTCTTCACACTCATTTTACACACTTTTTTCCAAAAAAAATCTTCCATATTCTCCAAAACCCTCATCACACAAAACCCTCAAATCTTACTAAAACTTGAAAAGAAGGACATTATGGATACACAAGACATAAATATGGAGGATTCTAAGGTCGAAGAGCACAAAGAGGTAAGAAATATTGTACTTTGTGATCGTTTTTCTCGTTTTTCGCACCTCATTTCACGTACAAAAAATTTGACGTGTATAGGTCGAAATATGCTCCGAATATCGACACACTAGTGTCGAAAATTTCAACATAAATCGACACTTTTTTACTGTCGATTTTTATTGAAATTTTCGACATTCTGGTGTCGATATTAGATGCACATTTCGACACTGGTGTGTCGATTTTTCACTATTACAATTGTGTAACCTAATTTTCGGTTTTTCTTTCAGAGTTTTGTACCTAGCGTGTGTAGTGAAGCTAATGCATGTAGGGAATTAGCTTTGGATTATTCACATGAATTTACCACCCATGAGGAGTTCGCAACAAGGGACAATTTAGTCACATGGGTGCGCGAAGTTGGTATGCGACTAGGAATGATAATGACAGTAAAGTCTTCAAACCAGGGAAAAAATAGACGTAGAAGGCCCTACGTGGTACTTGTATGCGAGCGTGCGGGAGTGTATCGTGGCAAAAAGGTACCCGGTCAAGACGGCAAAGGAAAGGGAAAAAGGCAAACATGGTCAAAGAAATGTGAGTGTCCGTTTGAGTTGAAGGGCCAAAAAATGCGCATGGATGATGAAGAAGTTGGGTGGGTGTTAACAGTTGAATGTGGTAGTCACAACCACTCAAATTTTGAAAACTTTCAAGGCCACTCATATGCTGGAAGATTAACAAGTGAAGAGATGGCACTTGTAGAAGACTTGTCCAACGCATTGGTGAAACCAAAGGCAATCTTATCATCACTAAAGTTGAAGAATCCGACAAATGCGTCCTTAATTAAGATGGTTTACAATGCTCGTCAGAAGATCCAGTTCAAAGAGAATGCCGGTAGAACTCAAATGCAATTGTTGATGTTGAAGTTGTCCGAAAATAACTACTTCGAGTATCACTGATATTTGGAGGAGACCGGCGAGGTAATGGACTTGTTGTGGACCCACCCTACATGCATTAAATTGGCATGTAGTTATCCGTATGTATTGGTTATGGATTGCACATACAAAACCAACATATACGGACTCCCATTCCTAGAGATTGTGGGTATTAGTTCTACGAATAAAACGTTCTCTGTTGCCTTTGCATACCTTCGGGCGGAAAAAATAGACAATTACGTATGGGCCTTGAAGAGCTTAGCCAAGGTCATGGAAAGTTGTCCTAAACCTAATTGTATAGTCACAGATCGAGAGTTGGCTTTGATGAAGGCTATAGAGATCGTATATCCCTCCAGTCAACAACTTTTGTGTCGATGGCACGTGAACAAGAACATTCTTAGTAATTGTAAGAAGATGTTCAAAACAAACAATGATAAGTGGAAAGATTTTGAGTCGGAATGGGCAAGTCTTGTTGGTCAAGAGACAGAAGAGTCATTTCATAAAGAATGGGATGTTATGAAAATAAATTTTGTTGACTACCCGGATGCTTTAACTTATGTCTCTCATTCGTGGTTGGATCCGTACAAAGAGATGATTGTCTTGGCTTGGACAAACAAACATAGGCATCTTGGAAAGTACACTTGTAACCGGGTAGAGGGTGCACACTCACGAATGAAGAAAGAGTTGGGAAATAGTATGGGCACATTTGTAAAGATTTGGGCTCATATTGACAACCTACTGATGCATCAACATACGGAAATCAAAGTCTCGTTGAGAAGAGCAAGAATACTTACCAACACAGTTACAAAGTAACGATATACAACGAACTTCGTGGATGTGTGTCGTTGTACGCTCTTGAGCAACTCAAACTTGAGGTGAAAAAATCACTCGAGTTGCATCAATGATGGGCTTTGGGGAAGATAATTGGAGTCTAGTACGAAGAGATTTGGTCGATGAGCTCATTATGAATGATGCTATCTACATGAATATCCACAAAGTTCGAGATACGTTTGATGAATTGGAAGCGAAAATGAGGTGTTCGGTTACACCTGCCCCTTATGAAAATTGGATGTCGTTTCCGGATATGGGTCATTTTATTGCGTCTAAATATGACATTGTTCTCGTACTAATAACGCAACTGCAGTGTCTTACATTTCTCCCACTCTCTAGTGACCCCGTGCCAGATGGGCAAAGACAAGAGCATGGGATAGCGCTTGTTGATGGAAATCATTTTGTGCATCTTGTTTTGAAGAAGAATTGTCCTCTTCCCCTTGTAGCAGATTATTGGAGGCGATACCACCACCCTAGAGCTAGTGCTTGGAAAACTATTGATATGGAGTCTAGGATTATTGCTTTTAAATAGTTAGTTAATCGTAATTATGTAGCACTACAAGAGACCATATGTATTGATATGTAGAATTGGTGCATTAAATATATTTTTGATAAATATATATATATATATATATATTGATGAAATAATTAGTTAACTCGTGCATTATAATTTTTTATCCAAAACATCCAAAATCAACAAAAATATCCAAAATCATCCAAAAATAAAAAACATCCAAAAAATAATCAAAATCTTCCAACTATCTACTTCTTTCTAAGTTTCTTCCTCTGAAATGTTAGTAACGGTGGTGGAGCGGTCGATGATGGTGGAGCGGTCGGCGATGGTGGAGCGGTCGGCGATGGTGCATCCGATGGTGGAGCAGTCGACGATGGTGGATCCGGTGGTGGAGCAGTCGACGACGGCGGTGAAGTAGGAGTGTCACCAGCAAACAAATCAGCAGACCCCTCTAACGTCATCACTATCTCGGTATATCCATCATCGGTATCTTGCTCGCGTATGCGAGCCAATGTAGTCCTCACCATCGTAATAATCTGAGAATCACGGGCCTCTAGTAGTGGCGAGCGAGCTATCTGGCGGCGCCCGGGTGCTTGCGGTCGAGAAACTGGAAGTGTACTGAGTTTTGTGATGGTCCGCTCCCTATACAAATCCATATAGTCGGGTGTAGTGTCCGGCTCTCCTAATAGCCTTGAACTGATCTGGACCGCTCATTAAGCAAGTGATCTTCCGATAGCTCAGAATATATGTTCTGGTACGCCGCAAATACAGGATGAGGTGTGCCCCGCTTCTGCTTCGTAAACATAGCGTCCGACATGTACGGTTGGCCGGGAATCTTCTGAACACGCCCAAATTGTTTCAAGACCCTGTCCGGATGGTAAGGCTCCAAATTACGCATGTACTATAACATGCCACTAAACTACGTGGACTCTGGCATAGGAAACCTGTCACGGAGGACCTCATACGGGGCCCATATAATCTGCGACAGTAAATAAATTAAAATGAAGAAACAAAAAAAAAAAGTAGTCGAAATGAGTTAAAATTTAAAAATTGAAAAAACTAAAAAAATAAGAAAGCAGTCGAAATGAGTTAAATGAGTACCTCATCGGAGCTCAGATCATCTATCAGAGTACGCAGATCACGGGCTCTGTTATCGCTTGAGTCGGACTTCAGTGGATATACCCATCGTGTAACTAACGGTCCCTCAATCTCGTCGGACCTAACCATCGGTGTGAGACGGGGGAAATGCTCGTAAATCCAACCCTAGAGAAGCGTCAAATATCCACGGATTTGCTTCGTATTAGCCTTTGAAGCATCCGACAGCGCCTCATAGAGCAGACACAAACAAGCTGTACCCCATGCGTAAGTCCCAATATTGTCCAAATTCTCTAGCAAACACAACAACTGCAGTGTACCCATATTCCCCGTCTTGCCCTGGAATATCGTACATGACAATACGTACAACAAAAATGCCCTTGTCGCACACGTATTTTTATTCTCATCATCACTATCTGTCACAGAACTGAAAGTACTACGCAACCACTCCAACTTAAGCGCCTTCTGATTTTGACCCCAACATTTATCCGTCGAATTAAGCACTACTCCGAGAATTCGTTTTACGATTGCTTGTGGGGCCCCCGTCTTACTAATTTGTTGAATAAATACCGGTCGTCCCACCACTGGCAAACCGGTCAAGCTGCTGACATCGTCTAGCGTGATAGTCATCTCCCCAAATGGTAAATGGAACGTACAAGTTGCCGGTTGCCACCGCTCTATGAAAGTCAACACCAATGCACTATCTATCACCTTGTACGAATGACGTACAAGGGGCATCAAACCGGACCTCTCGACAACCTCGGTCATAAAAGGAGCCATCCGCCACTTCTCCAACATTGTTGTGTGTTTTTGAACCCTCACACTTTCGCGCTCCTACAATTTTAATAAAAATAAACATTCAATCAATAAAGTAAATAACTTCAATAACATATGTATATGTGTGTCTATAAGTGTAAAAGTACATTTCCGGACAAAATCTGTCGAGCGATATGATTCTCAAACTGCGGCATCAAGTCTGGTATTTGTGGTCCTCTGGGGCCAGCCGATTGGCTACTAGATCCACCAACTTCGGTGGTCGATGTGAGCAGTGGATCCTCAGGTATGGACAATGAAGGCTCAACATCGGTAGGTAAACGTGTACGATTGGCCGGAGGATCGACCCGAGTAGCTTGAGAATCGCCACGTCGAACTTTACGATTGACCAATGCCTTTCTCTTGCGCTCAGAAGCAGTTTGGGGAATACGCGGTTCCACTGAAAAAAAAATATAAATATAATATTAATCATTTATACTAAAAAAAAAGTTTGCAAAAAAAATCAGTTTACCAGTCAATTTTCGACATCACAATGTCGATATTTGTACAAAAAATCGACATAAGCTCTGTGTCGAAAATTGTACAAAAAATCGACACATCAATGTCGAATTTTCTCTCAAAACTCGACACTTGGTTTATGTCGAATTTTTGTACAACTATCGACATTGAGATGTCGAAAAAAGTTCTAATAATCGACAATTGTGTGTTGTCAAAATTAGATGAAAAAATCGACACCAATATGTCGAAATATTTCCAAAAAATCGACAAGTACAGGTCGTTTTTTGGAAAACCGCAACTCATTCAACAATAGTGCTAGAATCGAACCCTAAAATCATCAACTACGTTCTAAAATGACTTGAATTCATTATTCTAACAATAAAATCATGTTTATCACATTTTATTTCTCAAAAAAAGTTAATTCAAAAAGTAATTTTCTTACTTACTTTAGTGGGATTGTTGTGGCGGGGTTGGGGCAACAACAGTTGCAGGTGGGGACTTCAACGGCGACGGGGGAGGTGGTGGACTTCAACGGTGAGGGGGCGACGGCGAAGGCGGGGTTGAGTGCTGCAATTGAATTTTTTTTGTTTTCTTCCCTTCTTCCCTCCTCGTTTTTCAATTCTCGTTTTTTAATTTGTTTTTTCTTTCTTTTTTTTATTATTTTTTCCTTTTTAAATTGGTCTTGCAAAAGTAAATTAATATTTTTTTTTACTTTGTTTGTATTTTATTAAGGTTATTATAGTCTTTTTATACTGAATTTGATAAAAAAAAATTAATTTGGTCTTGCACTAAGTAAATTTGTGATTGCAAATAGTTGCTGCCAAAAGATAAATGATATTGGGGTTCTTCAAGGGTATAGTAGACAATTTAGACTTGTTAGAAGGGTTGTTTTAAGGGGAAACTACAGATAAATCCCTAATCCAAAACACAAAACACAGATATGTCCCTAGGTAGTTTCCCCAAGCAAATCAGTCCCTACTCACGCGCCTAACATGCAGATCAGTCCCTAATAAAATGTGCAAATACTAAAATACCCTTTACTTTATACTAATTTTACATAACTTGTTTTCAACGTCTAACGCGCCGTTTGTGTTACACGCTCTTTGCCCGTTACATTTCAAAAATCAAACAACAAGAAAGAAGCTAAAAAGGCACAGAAAAAACCACCGTTCAGTTAATACCCATTTCCAGACAATGAAGAAACAGAGAAGAAACGAAGAACAAAGAAACAACAAAGAAGGAAGAAACAACGAAGAACGAAGAATCAATAAAACGCAGAAAAATAATAAAGCGAAAGGAAAAATAAAAATAAACAAACCCATTTCTAGACCATGGTGAAGCAGGGTAAACAACAAGGTTTGATTTTTTTTATTTTTTTTTCATTTTCTTGGAAACAGACCCATTTGGGTGTTGCTTAAGCTTGCAAAAATGTTTATTTGTTGTAGAATTGCATGATTTTGAACATATCCACTCATGGTTATTATGCCTCGACTTTATTCGGTGTTTCCCTAATCATTAAATCGGTTCCAATATCTGTTGTTTTGTTATTTGGGTTTGCAAAGATCATTTATTTGTTGTTAAATTTCATGATTTTGTAACAGTTTCGTCATGGGTATTATTCTTCGGTGACATTAGCATGTCCCCAAAGCATTTTGAGTCCTAACAAGGGTTTCATATATGATATGGAAAAGAGGCTTATTGTATTTTTCGTACTGGTTCTATAGTATGTGTCATGCGCAGTAATGGTATTAATAGTACATTTAGATGGTATTGACACAGGGTACTCGAAGTACTGTCCCGAAAGCATTTAGTCCTAATAATGATATTGCTCTTGACTTCGGACGGTATTAACACAGGGTACTGGAAGTATAATGTTTGATGGTTCTGTAGTATGTGTCATATGCCACAATAGTATTGCTAGTGGCTTTGAGTGCTATTGCTAGTGACTTTGGATGGTATTGGCACAGGGTACTGGAAGTATAATGTTTGATGGTTCTGTAGTATGTGTCAGTTGCCACAATAGTATTGCTAGTGCCTTTGAATGGTATTGCTTGTGACTTTGGATGGTATTGACACATGGTACTGGAAGTATGATGTTTGATGGTTCTGTAGTATGTGTCATATTCCCCAATAGTATTGCTAGTGACTTTGGATGGTATTGACACAGAGTACTGGAAGTATAATAATTGATGGTTCTGTAGTATGTGTCATATGCCCCAATAGTATTGCTAGTGCATTTGAATGGTATTGCCAGTGCATTCGAATGGTATTGACAGAAGGTACTGAAAGTATAATGTTTGATTGTAATGTAGTATGTGTCATATGCAACAATGGTATTGAACGAAATTACTTGAAGTACTAGTAGTGAAACTTTATTGTACGTTGTATTTGTTATAATTGTACTTTTATGTGTATGAATTACGGCTTGTTTGTCTGCTTGTAGGCATATTGTCATGCCATAAACAATACAGATATTTGGTTTAAGGCAAAAACTTGCGACATCAAAACACTTCGTCCTAAACTAGCAATTATCTTTATGAGGCATCGGAGAGTAGAAATGGAAGCTAAAGATGAAAGAGATGTAGCGTTATAGAGAAAAATCTGGGAGTGGAAGTGTTTTGGGGTTTTTGTGTTTTTTTCTTTTTCATAAA